TTTGTTTCAGGGGTGTAATGACCCCAATTTAAAAAAAAAAAAACTTTTAGAGAAGAAAGGGCAAAAAAAACTTGAGATTTCGTACATTTGTTGAAAAAAAAATATACTTAAAGCAGATACGAAAAAAAAAATGAATTGTAAATAATATACACTAAAAAAATGAATATTTCCTTTACTAAAAACAAAAAAATACACGTGTAAAAAATGTACTTTAAAAAAAATTAAATAGCAGAGTTTATGTAAAAAAAAACAGGACAAACGAGCAAGTGTTGTAAAAAAACATAGCCAACGTAGCCAAAATACAAAAAAATCAACTGTTTGGTCACTTTCAGTAAAAAAATCTGACTAGATGGAGCATCAAACAAAAAAATGGATAAAGCTTGAAGCCGTTCTAAAAAAACCGCCTTGATGGTTTTACATGTTAAAAAAAAGATTTTGAAGGCATTTGTCCACAAAAAAAGACGGCGTTTGGGTGGTGTTGGAAAAAAAAGAAGGCGTTTGGTCTCTTAATGAAAAAAAAGGATGTTGTTGGATGAATCATCTAAAAAAATTCGGGCGGAGTGTGAAGGCGTTTGTCCACCTTGTTTAACGGCGTTGGATGCAGTGTTGTATAGAGGATCTCAAACATGTTGGAAAAAAATGAAGGAGTTTGTTCTTTGTTTGAAAAAAATGGAGATTTTTCAATGGATCATCAAAAAAATCCAGTAGAGTTCCACCAACTCAAAAAAAAAAGAGGATCTCTTAGGTTCTCACGTACCTCTTTCTATTCGTCTACGACGAAAGAAAAAAATTTTAAAACCTAGAAGTTTTGAAAAAAAAAGGCTAGATTTTTAAAAGGTTTTTAAAAAAATTATTAGAATATAACCTCAGACAAAAAAAAAAACTTCGAGGTATAGCGATGCAAAAAAAATCGCTGTAAATTAGCTCACAGGTAAAAAAAAAATCCTCTTCCGGGAAACGTTTAAAAAAACATCATTTTAATTCACACAGGCAAAAAAAAGTTCTA